AGAAGAGGGCAGCCTCTTCTAGAAGCATTTTTATCATGAAGTTAAACCCAGGCAAGCGGCCGAAGAAATGGTAAGTGTTATGGAAAACTGCTTTCCCAGAGATCGAGGAGGGAGAGTGAAATAGACTGGACTAAAGTTGGAGCTAAAAGTAAGGGTGGACACCAGCCACAGAGCACACACCAGGCGCCTGGAGCATGATGAGAGGGAACAAAATGTGTGGGGAGCCTCGTTGCCACCTGAGGCTGAACCATGCTTAGAGGAACTCCCAGCCCCACGCCGTGCACTGTACAGGGTTGCCTCCAGTTTTCCAATCTTCTGCAATAGCCCAGTCTGTGAGATGTTTCAGAAAAAGTATCTGCTTTTTAGGTACTTTATTCTCAAATTCCAAGTGGGCATTAGCATAGCAATGACTGTAAAAATCTTGCTGTAAAGAATCCACTAAGCCCTGAATTTCTTAAATGTGTTTGAGCATACAATCCCCTGATGTCCAATGTGATATATAAATATCTAACCCGTAATTTTCAGAGATTATCTTTGAAAAGAGAGTGAAGGGAAAGATAAAGGTGACAGCTTCAGGTTCTATGAAGGAAAACCTTGCCCACTTCTTGCTGATGAAAATAGGCCAAATACCTTTTGGTTTCAAATTGCTGTAGGCTGGATTAGTTAAAGTGACACACAAACAGATGAGTATGGAGTCAGCCACAACACTAACCTGTTGCTAACGCTGTCTGGGATCCTGGCCTTACTCCTTCAGTTGTCTAGATGCATAACTGATCCTTCTTAAAGCTAACGTACAGAAAGATGAGTCTTAGTTTCTCTATGGTGTTAAGAACAAGACCAGAAAAAGGGCTGGATGAAATATTTCCCAGCAGGTTTTACAAAATCCTACATGCAAATCAGCAGTCAAGCAAGGGGTTCTTAACAACCCAAACTTTACGGGCCAGGCAAACACAATGATGCTTGGGAAGAAGTCCTTTTCCAGTTGGCCTGGGGACCAAAATGAACCAGAGAAAAGGTTAGTTCAGTGAATATTTTGATATTTTGGATATTTTAAAAAACTTTTGCCTTCGTAACCTTAAATGGTTCTGAAAAAAAAAGTTATTAGCTCCATAGAAAACCAAAATGTAATATTCAAGCTTCTGGTTTACAAGAAAGGAAACTAAATAGAGCTACAATATAGGCTCCATGTATAATATTCATTTTGCATAGAAACTCCATTTAATTGAGCACAAATCTATTGGCAGGGGTTATCTAAATTTTTTTTTTTTAAGTAATTGCTAAGCTATAAAGTATTAATACTAAGTTCTGATTAAATAGATTTTGGTGGGAGGACAAACCTGAACAACTAACAAAAAAATATTATTCTTATGCACCAAATAAATAATGTTAAGCAGACTGGCCTCTGTCTTAATGGAGCTTATAATGGTATTTATAGTAAAAACAAAACAAACAAACAAAAGACTTGTTTCAAATGAAGGACACAGAAAGGAAGAAGAATAAGAATTCTTTGAGTTTCATTTAAGCTTAATTTATTATCTCATGCTATCCTGCGTTTCAAGAGAGGGAGCCTAGTAGGGAATATGGCGATGGGGACCAGGGCTCTGGAATCAGAGAGACCAGAGGTTAGGGTCTGTCCCTCCTCAGTCACGGTGTGGCCTTGGGCAAGTTCCCTAACCTCTCTGAGCTTTATATCCTCACAGAGTTCCATTTCATTGGAATTAACAAGATAATATATCTTGCTATCCAATATATAATAAGTCCTCAATAAATAATAAATATTTTTAACGGTTAATATATTGAACAAAGATGGTAAAGATGGAAGGTAGATCTGAAGAAAAGGATAAAGAAATTGAACATGAACACAGAAAGGAAAGAATCAAGTAAAAGTCTAAGAAAATAGTTTTAGAGTTTTGAAAACCTACAGAGTTCTTAGATGAAGTTTAGTTAATTTGAACACTATATGTTTTCTAATTCTAGTATTTTTTTTTTAAACTTCCTAAAAGGAATGTTATACTACTTAGTATGATTTAGGGGAAAAAATAGTAGTGGTGGGAAGCAGAGTATGCAGACCTGACTATTAAGAAATTCTCTGTTTTCAGAAAATAAGTTTATTTTATGACACACATACAAGGTTATTTTCTGCACATTGTTTCTAACACCAAAACTTTGGAAACAATACAAATTGTTAAATCAATTAGGTGAGTCATCTACTAACCAGAATATTACATAGCTTAAAGAATAATCAGTTACTTCTTATTAAAATGTGGAAAAATATACAATTTATTACTAGCTTTTTTTTTTTTTAAGCAAGGATCAGAGCTTCTTGAGTAAAAAGTGGAGGGATTAGTATCTATGTTTATATTTCTATGTTTAAACATAAAGAAACTTTGGATGGATGTGGAAATTGGAAGAGTAGTTGTTTGTGTGGGGAGGAGGCTGGGAAGACCCAGCAAATGGCAGAGAAGGACTGAAGGCAACTTTTCACTGTGTACCATTTTATATGTGCTGTTTTTTGAGCCAGATGTGATTTTTATTATTTTCGCTTACATGTGGTATCTAAGGATACTTTTCACTGTGTACCATTTTATATGTGCTGTTTTTTGAGCCAGATGTGATTTTTATTATTTTCGCTTACATGTGGTATCTAAGGATACTTTTCACTGTGTACCATTTTATATGTGCTGTTTTTTGAGCCAGATGTGATTTTTATTATTTTCGCTTACATGTGGTATCTAACAAATATAGTGGACAATTTGGTGATGTACAGAGGAAAAGGAAATTGGGAGTCTGAGGGAATGGGGTGAAGGGTTTAAAGAAGTACAAATTAGTAGTTGATAGCTGGGCACAGGGAGCATGGAAGAGAGAATGCAGTTAGCATTAATACGATGGCTAAGTGGAGGGTCAGAGGAGGGAGGGAGCAATTGGGGGGATCGTTTTATGAACATTATAGATATCTAACCAATGTACTGTATACTTGAAACTAATTTAAATAAACACATTTATTTTAAAAAGTAAAAAAAAATAATTAGAAAAATATGAATGCTTTAGAAGAGTATTATTCAGAATTTAAAGTTATGAAACAGATTGCTTTATCCTGACACCAACCTGAGGTCAGTTTAAATTAAGAGAGTTTAAATTAAGAGAGATTGACTTCTGATTTGCAGAAGAGGTGGATAAAGAGGGAACAGGGTCCATTTGGGAGTATAATGTACACCAAGGGATCAGAGGTTGGAAGAGGTTGGAATCCACTGATGAGAGGATTTAGAATCTAAACTGTGTAATGGGGCATCTGAGCAGTGGGAAGCTTGTCAGGATGGGGAGAAAGGGTTGCAAAAGAGAGAAGAGAGAGAGCAAGGGTTAAATCTAATACTTAGCAATTTTGCCTGGGTCCCTCAGAGCTCTGCTGCACTGAAAATCAGCTCAACGCTGATCTTGACAGAAAGAGAATTTTGTTAGCATTTGTGAAAACTCATTCAATAACATGACACCAGATAACTGGTTACCACCACCCAAACCTGGTAGTGAGGTAGAAACAAAGATTTGAGGAAGTGGAAGAAAGGTCCCAAGGATTTCTGCTTCACATCAGAACGATTTCCTTGGCATGAAGTAGAGCCATAAAAATGGAGGTTATGATAGCTAGTTTGTTTAATCTGAGGTACAGAAAAACTAAGAAAGAGAAATAAGAATCAGTCTTAGAAGTTCTCACTAAATTAACATTTCTGAGTTATGGACCAGTATCAAAATCAGGAAGTGACAAATGAAGAAGATGATCATGGAGTGATTCCAAATTTGCTTTCTACATGATAGATTAATGGGAGATTTGATCGCTAATTTGATGATCAAAACTGCAAATATTGATCTCAGGAAGATGACATGTTGCAAGATGCTTCTACAGAGCAAAAAAACAAAAACAAAAACAAATTTTGCCTAGAATTGCTTTAATTGGACCAACCTTTTTTAAGGAGAAAAATATGTCCAATAGTGGTGTGGTCACTTGGAAGTATCCCCCCCTTTAGCCCCCCAATAAACAACAGTTGCACATTATTTACCTAAAATATTAATCATTTCAAGCATAAGAGAGCTTCTTCCATCACTACGTAGGATTACCAATCGTTAACAAGTCATTCAGTATCACATTATAGCATGTGCCACAGTATTGTGGTAACATTTGTGGTAGAAAATAAAACTATTCACCGAGAAGGAGAATAACATACCTCTTCGTCTGCCTTGTTACCCTAGCTATGTATTACTTTATGAATCAGAAAAGTTAAAAAAAACTTCACTGAGAAATAGAAAACAGCTAAAATATATAACAGAAAGACTCATTTCACAAGTCCTGTTGATCTCTTATTTGAATATTGGGCTTAAGAAACAATGAAGAAGTTATAGGCACTTATAATTATTTGGAGGGGGGTTTCTAAACTTTTGTACTATTGACATTTGGGGCTGGAAAATTATTTTTTGTGAGGGGCTGTCCTGTGCCTTATAGCAGCATCCCTGGCCTCTACCTACTAGATGCTAGTAGCATCTTTCTTTTCTGACAATGAAAAATAACTTCAGACATTGCCAAATATTCCCTGGGTGTCAAATTGCCTCATTTGATAATCGTTGCCTTAGGGTTTCATGCATCTTTCCATCTAACTCCTTTATGTAGTAAGAGCAAATGCCACAGTCTCATTCAACAGAAATGAAACCAAACTAAGGAAGTAAATGAAATGGTTGTCATTAAGCAAAACCACTTATCAATCAAATGGATGTGTTTCCTTCCATCCCCCAAAAACCAGCCCACCAGGCTTTTTCTCACAGAATGCCCACATAGAACTATGGATTTCTCCCTTCTCAGACCTCTCACACCAAAGAAAAATAATGCACAAGAAAAGTCATTGCATACACAGAAGTACCAGTGATGGAATCATTTCTTGTTGCAAATTTTTCTATAGAAGCCAAAACACTCTCTGCTGATGAACGAAGCATGTTAAATTGAAAATGAGAGAACTTACTGTTTCCAGAAACAGCTTTTCGGAATTTCGTCAGGTCGACATTTGGTGGTCTACTGGGTTTTGGTGGAGGTGGCCCCAAGAGAAACAAGGGAGGAAGGGGCTTCTGCTTAGGGGCGGCCGAATTCTTGTCTTCCTTTTCCTGGCTTTGGCCCCAAGGCCCTGCCATCGTCACCTTAGAAGGTGGCTTAGGAAACTTGGCAGGAGGAGCACCAGAGGCTGACTCTTCCTGATTTATTTTGTTCAGGAATACATTCTTAGTAGCATCTATCTTTCTGTCTTCTTTCTTTTCTTCAGCATTTTTTGAGAGGCTTGGGATTCCTCTGCTTGCAGAGGGTTTCAGAACCACTCCAAGAAAAGGTGAACTTGATGTCTCGCCTTCATGGTCTTTGTTTTCTGAGTCTTCCCTTGCTGGCTTTAAAGGGCCAGTTTTAGGCTTGACTCCCAGAGGGACCGGGGGTCCTCTCTGTGGAGATGCATTCTTAGTGGGGCTCTCGACCTCATGAGGGTCTTCAATACTCAGGGATGGCTTCTGGCCAAAGACGGGTTTGGGGAATTGGGGCTTGGGGTCATGATCTTGAGAGGCCGATGCGAACTTGCCTTGAACCGCAGACAACTTTGGAAACACTTGTTTCTGATCATTTTCCTGGGCTGGAGGATTAGAGCCGGGCTTTGGGCCTGGCAGCTTTAAGTCATGGTCTTGGTTTACACTGTGAAGCGAAGGCTTATTCCCAGGAGGCCGGGGAAAAACAGGTTTAGAATCTTCTTTGGGAAAGTTGATAGGCTTGGGACCTACAGGCTTCAGAAATCCCGCTTTTACCTCAGGGTCTCTGGTAGCTGAGACTGCTGGTGATCCGAATCTTTGGCCCACTCCTGTGGGCTTTAAAAACGGGGGCTTGGGCTCCTTGTCAGGCTTTTCCTCAGAAGAAGGTTTCACTCCCACAGGTGGCTTTGGAGACCCAAACTTTGATGTGTTGTTGGGTCCTGCTGGAGGGCTGGCATTTCCTTGGTTGTTGAATAAGTTCTTTTTTGCTTGTACTCCTAAAGGTGAATTTTGCCCCGTGACTTTGAAGGGTCGGCTGCTGACCGAGACCTCCTCTGTCGGGTTGCCCCCTGTGTTAAACTTCGCCATGAGAGACTTCACATCTGCTTTTCCATCCTACGAGCAGAGGGAACAAAAACTATCTGAGAACCAGAAGTCTTACTTGCACAGTTTAAAATACTACACTTTAAAGAGTTTCCTGGTTTGAGGCCTGCAGTGCTGCTGATTGGTTAGGAAGATATTGTAACACTTATCTTCCTCTATGGCAAAATAAGTTATGAGAGTTTCTTGAAGGGGGAGGGCTATTGTACATATACTTTCTTTGGGTAGTCTTAGACTGACACGTCTGTTTTTGTTTGTTACAACTTGTCTTTTCCTTTTCCTGTCACTGTTTCTGTAGCTATCTTGCTAGATTTACTCTTCACTTGGTATTTGTCTATTTTATTTGACTTGAAAAAATATGGAAGTGACTAACAGATGACTTCTTCCATATTTTAAAACCAAGCCTCTTAAACAGAAACTACATTTAAAAATGAAAGTAAATTCTAGGTTGCATGCTTTGTACAGCATGGCCATGTTAACATCTCTGTGGTTTGTAAGAGTTCTCTTTCCCATCCACATTTAAGGTCTGTCTGTTTGCTAACAGGGAGATGTGACAGATAAACCCACTAATTTTATGTGTAAGTAATAAAATAAGTTTTTTGTCTTATATATATTTATATGTTCAGTGGTAATGGTTCAACTGGAACCAAATTAGCAGGCAGAGTGGGCTCACTTTCAACTGGTCCTGTCTAGGGGGCTCTCAGGGCAGATGATGAGGAAGCAGTAGAGACTGGATAGGAAGTCTTGTATCCAGGCTTCTTGTTTCTCCAGTCTCATTTCTTCTATAATGACATTGATCATTCCTTCTCAGGAGTCTGCTACACAGTCTCTGTATTTATTGCTTGGAATTAGGGTATTATTTAGCAAGGAGAGCAGGCAGCTACCCTTCTCTGTGGGTATAATCCTATCTAGTAGAATTTATGATTTGCTTGGTCTTTCTCTCAAAAACAAATTCTTTTAGAATATTTGAGTCCTTTTAGAATATTTGAAAATCTAAGGTTTAAAAAAAACATTGAAGTTATACATGTGGCCATAACAATTTCTACTTTCATGCTTTAAAGTTCAGCTAGGAAACATTTTCTTCCTTCCCACCTGCACCTACTGTCGCCACACACTCAAGTACACTTCTTCTTTAAAGTGCCCACGCAAATACCACAAAAGCAGATCCTGTCCTACTGGGAAGATTTGCTCCCCCCACCTTCACTCACGTTGCACTTCAGGCATTTCTCATGCCTCTGTGTTGCTTCCTTTCATAATAATAAGAACCAGCATTTAGTGTGGACATACGTGTGCATACTTCTAAACCATGCAGGCATCTATGTGGCCCATCTCATTGCTTTAGAGGATGGCATTATCTCACTTCATTTCACAGGCAAGAAAAGTGAGGTTGAAACTGCAAGAATACACCATGGAAAGATCATAAGAACTTGATTTGAATCTTAGTTTATTAGAGGGGCCTCAGTTGCATCACCTATAAAATGCGGATAATAACATACCTGCCAGAACTGTCATGGACATTAGAGAGGGAATTTGTAAAGTGCCTGCCTGCCTGCCTCACAGCATGGGCTCAATAAATGGAAACTATTATTGTTAGAAATGTTAAGTAGCATATTCAAGGACTCACAGCCAGGAACTGTGAGCACAGGGGTGCAGACGCGGGTCTGTCTAAGGCTCCAAAGTCGAGAAACTGTCTCATTCGTCTTTGTATTCCCACAACATCTGGATCAGGGCTCGGTACCCACAGAGTTCTAATGTGTATTTGGGGAATGAAGGCTGGCACTGAGCTGAACACTATGAATACTGATTTTAAAAGAAATAGTGTCTTCACCAGGAGTTGTCTCTCCCTACCCAAGTGCAGCACATGTGTATTTGTGGGAAGAGAAAACTGGATAAGAAAAACATTTTTCAGTTTGATTTTTCTTTTTTAAATTTACTGCCCTATATCTGAGTCCCTGAAAGTCGCTATCTTGCCTCCCTCAACCACTTTTTTTTTTTTTATCCCCATGATTTCCTCAACTCCTCAATCAAGCCCCAAAGACCACAGGTTGGAAGACAGTGGACCAGGGAAAGTGGCATCAGGGGAGGGATAGGAGACAGGTCCTGCCCTGTGCCTCCAGGGGTATCATAGCCTCAGACTCCAAACCTTAACACGAGAAGCATAAAGAAGTATCAATATAAAAATTTACTCACCACCTGAAAGAAAGTCTGTCTCTGGAAAAGAATTCTTTTGTTCTAGACTTACTCTGGATTTTGTAATTCATATTTTAGGTATATGATTTATTCTAGGTTTATAACAAGAGGATACATAGCAGAGTGGTTAAGAACACAGACTCGAGAGCTAGACCACCTGGGTTTGAACCTTACTAGCTATTTAATCTAGGGCAAGAAACATAAATCTGGGTCTTAATTATGGGAATAATAACACTGTGTCATAGGGGTATTAGGAAGAACAAACAAATTAATACTCGTAAAACACGTTACACAGAAGGGTTTCCTATTTTTATAAAGCAAGTCAAGCTATGCAAATCGTCAAACATACCTCTCCCACTGTGTTGGCGGGGAACAGAAACCAAAGGATTTAAGTGACATCCTACTTACTTACAGCAATTCCACATCTTGAATTTCATGGGGGGAACCCCTTAAAACACACTAACCCACTGTCAAACTCCATGTCCTAGTTTTAGTTTAGAAAATATGGAAGTGGTTAATTTGGAACTGGAACTTGTCTCTTAGATGTCAACCCAGACCCAGGAGACAGCACAGTGTCTTGGTTAATAATAGCATAGGTTCTGGGATTATTGACTTGGGTTCTAACCTTCATTTTGCCACTTACTAGCCATATGATCTACCAAGTAACTTAATTTCTTGGAGACTTAGTTTTCTTCATCTATAAAATGCAAATAATAACAGTACCTATTTCTCACAGAGTTTTGTTTTTTCAAAAAGAATTAAGTATGAAATAAGTCAGAGAAAGATAAATAACATACGATTTCACTTATATGTGGAATCTAAGGAACAAAAAGAACAAACTAATAAAAAACAGACTTACAAATATAGAGGATGATCTGGTGATGGCCAGAGGGGAGGGGGCTTGGGGGGCTGGGAGAATGGAGTGAAGGGTTAAAGAAGTACAAATTAGTCGTCGATAGATGGTCATGGGGATGGGGAGCATGGCATAGGGAACGCAGTCAGCATTCATGTAATGGCTAGGTGTAGAGCCAGAGGAGAGAAAGAGCAATTAGGGGGATTGTTTTATAAACTATATAAATGTCTGACCGATTTACTGTATACTTAAAACTAATAAAATAAAATTAAAAAAAAAACTAAATGCTAAAAACAAAAATAGGTTAATGAGTGCAAAGTTCTGAGATCAAGAATTACATATAACATACATCCAACTATTGTCTTCCATCGTTTGTCTAATTCACTAGTCACGTACATAATTTTCTCTAGGTGAGCAGATTATGAAGTTATAATCATTAATGTTATGTTCTAATTTTATATCAATGTGACTGAAACAAACAGCTGGATAACATAATAGAGTTATTATGTTTCTGTTTAGTTTACCCATGCTCTGAAACTTTTCACTGGATGTTGAAGAATAAATTAAGAAAGCAACAAGTTCTTATGTAGGACACTGAAGAAACAGTAACAACATTTGAGCTTAATAATATGTCTGGCATATCAATAGCCTGAATCTAGAACTATTTAATCACTTATACTGACTGCTTAGTTTGACAGGTTGTTCGGTTGTTATTGTTAATAAGTCTATTAGATAAAATTTTCAACATCCAGGTTATCCCTTAATCTTGACAATAGTTATATTTCTTCCTTAATGATAATAATAGAAAGGAAAACTCTTAAAACATTTTTTGACATGTTCTCATCCTGATTTCACTGTAGATTGAATTTTCTAGGGCTTCTTTTTATTTAAAAAAAAATTTTAAAGAGGGTAGGAGCAATATATCATTGTATGATAGATAGGGTGGAAGCCCGGAACCTCCAAGCCCTAGGCCTCCAGTTCTAGGCAGAGTGTACACCCTGACTTACCAGTACAATACGAGTGTGTATGTCTATTGCTCCAGAATAATTATTCATACAGCTCCCTTTTACTCTCAGAATTGACCTGCTTTAAACAATAAATTATATGGTGAATTTACCCAGTTCTTCACTAGAGGCAACTACTGCTATCAGTTTCTTACGTATATTTCTAAGCTACGCATATACAAATGTACACACACACACATGCACACACACATGCACACACACACACGCGCGCACACACACACACACCACCATCAGTCAGTTGAACACTTTTTGCACAAATGAAAATCCTTGCGTTGGCAAATTGTTTTCTTAAATTGTTTTCTTTTTTTCCCAGAACTGTTATTCTGTTGATACACACTGGTATAGCTGGACGTACGATCAACAATCACTGTGATTGCTTGATACTTGTGTATGTTCAGTTATTACATTTTCAATATTAACTCTGCTTTTCTCTTGCCAATTGATCCTTATCAGTGAAAACTATTTGCAGGATCTTTAGACTTTATTTCTTGATTTTTAGGAACAGTTTTAGATTTACAGAAAATTGAGAAGATAATGCAGAAAGTTCTGCACGTAGGTACAGAAAGTTTCTGTACGTGTGTACAGTTTCCCCATTTGTTTGCAGGTTTTTTTAAACTTTTAATTATTTTAAGATTAGGCTTCTATTTTTTCTTAAGATAAAATATTTTATAATCTAGAAGACCTCAGAGTTTAGAATATTTTAAGCATAACAGAAATTTCATCTTAGATTATTTGGATTTTTTTTCAGTCAGTTGAAACAATTCATTATTATTTCCATTTATTATGTACCTATATAATGTTTAGACCAAACTACTCCCATAAGTTGCTCTATAATTATATAGATGTAGAAATTGTCTTGATAGAAGTAAATTTCCTTTAGCTACCTCCCCATATGTTTTTGAGTTCCTCAGAATTATAAACCTTCACTGGTATAAACTTATG